CCTGGACCCTACAGAGGTTGCACAGGCAGTCCGACTCCTCCAGGATGACACATCAATAAGTGCCATTGCCAGAAGGTTTGCTTTGTCTCCCAACACAGTCTCAAGAGCATGGGGAACATTCCAGGAGACAGGCAGTTACTCTAGGAGAGCTGGACAGGGCCGTAGAAGGTCCTTAACCCATCAGCAGGATCGGTATCTGCTCCTTTGTGCAAGGAGGAACAGGATGAGCATTGCCAGAGCCCGACAAAATGACCTCCAGCAGGCCACTGATGTGCATGACTCTGACCAAACAATCAGAAACAGACTTCATGAGGGTGGCCTGAGGGCCCAACGTTCTCTAGTGGGCCGTGCGCTCACTGCTCGGCACCATAGAGCTCGACTGGCATTTGCTATTGAACACCAGAATTGGCAGGTCTGCCACTGGCGCCCTGTGCTTTTCACAGGTGAGAGCAGGTTTCCCTGAGCACATGTGACAGACGTGAAAGGGTCTGGAGAAGCCATGGAGCACATCTGGAGAGTCATATCCATGGAGGGACGCACAGACTAGACAATGGCACCCTGACTGCCATTAGGTATCGGGATGAAATTCTTGGACCCATTGTCAGACCCTACGCTGGTGCAGTGTGTCCTGGGTTCCTCCTGGTGCGCGACAATGCCCGGCCTCATGTGGCGAGAGTATGCAGGCAGTTGCTGGAGGATCAAGGAATTGATACCATTGAATTCCCCCCACGCTTGCCTGACCTAAATCCAATACAACACCTCTGGGATATCATGTTTTGATCCATCCAACGCTGCCAGGTTGCACCCCAGGAGCTCAGTGATGCCCGGGTTGAGATTTGGGAGGAAATACCCCAGGACACCATCCGTCGTCTCATTAGGAACATGCCCTGATGCTGCACATGGGGCCCATACAAACTACTGAGTACCATTCTGAGTTGCTGCAATTAAATTTCAGCAAAATGGACTAGCTTGCTGCATCATTTTTTCACTTTGATTTTCGGGGTGTCTTTTAATTCAGTCCTCTATAGGTTGATAATTTTCATTTCCATCAAAAGATGGGGCATTATTCTGTTCCTAACACATTACCCAGTCCATATCAGTATAGTTACATAGTTAGTCTTGCTGAAAAAAGACAGAAGTCCATTCAGTTCAACAAAAAAAAAAAAAAAGTTATAATCCTATACCCACAGTTGATCTAGAGGAAGGCAAAAAAAAAAAACTCAGTAAAGCATGACCCAATTTGCTCCTGCAGGGGAAAAATTACCTTCCTGATCCCCCCAAAGGATCAACTTTACCTATAAATGTTACTATTCAGTTATATTCTGTGTATCTAAGAAATAATCCAGGCCTTTTTTAAAGCAATCCACTGAGCTGGCTAGAACCAACTCTTGAGGGAGTCTATTTCATATTTTCACAGCTCTCACGTGAAAGAAACCTTTCCATGTTTGGAGATTAAATTTATTTTCCTCCAGACTTAAAGAATGCCCCCTTGTCCTCTGTGATGACCTCAGGGTGAATAGCTCTTCACCGAGTTCACTATATGAACCATTGATGTATTTATACATGTTGATCATATCCCCCCTTAATCTCCTCTTCTCAAGAGAAAATAAATTCAGTTCCTCTAATCTTTCCTCATAGCTGAGCTCCTCCATGCCTCTTATCAGTTTGGTTGCCCTTCTCTGCACTTTCTCCAGTTCCCCAATGTTCTTTTTGTGAATTGGTGCCCCAAATTTAACTGTATATTCCAGATGAGGTATTACTAATGATTTACACAGGGGTATAGATATCCAGCATGATATTTTTCCCCATTGAGATCTGATGTGTTTCCAAAGTGTTTTAATTTTTTTGAGCAGTGTATTTTTTCTACATCTACATAAGATGGTTTGAAGGGTATAGCACAAATTCTACCCTGACTGCATGAATATTTTCAGTTTTCAGCTGGAGAAAATGCAGTAAAAGACATATTTTATGTAATAAGATTAGCTGAGTCAAAAAATGATTCTGTGTGATTTTGGAGAAGTACATATGCAAGTTAAATCTTGCCTGTAGTTCAGCTTCAGTAAATGAATGACATAAAAATCAATATCTAATCCCTTATCTTTGTAAGAAAATACCCTATTCTAGAGATATATATGAACGCCAGGCTAAATCACACAGCATGTATATTTGGAAGCAGATGTATGTTCACATCATGCAGGGAAAGTCAGGAGTGCAAATCAATCTGAGCATAATTATTTGGTATAAAAAAGGCCTTGAGGGACACGATAATCATCATTTATTGAAATGTTGCCGTAGGGTTTTTATGCAGAATTTAACCTGCAGATAGGAAAATGAGAAATACACTAAGTTAAAGAAAATCTTTCAGTGTGTTAACTGTATTTATTATCTGATAACTAAGTTTTCCAAGCCCTGAAAATAATCTTGTCCAATTTTGTCACCCCATACTTTTCATGTTGCCATGACAGTTTGGAAAGCTACTATTATACAGTACTTACCAAAGGTTCAAGTGTCACTTACTATCCCAGATACCCACAAACTCTACATAGAAATGACCAGATACATGAAAGGAAGAAGATTTTAATAGTAAGGTGCAGGGTGTTATTGGTTCAGGAGGCAATGGCATATCTAGATTTAAATTTACTAAGCAATGGTGGATCAATAAAGGGTTGTTAAGGATAGGAAACTACTTCAATGAGGATTGCATCTGTTCTCTACAGCATTTTAGAGAAACACTACATATGCCTTCTAACCAGATTTTCAGATACAATCAGATTGCCTCTTTTATTCGCTCTAAGCTTAAAATGCTAGATGGGCCACTTACACTTACAGCTTTTGAATTCTCATGCCAAACAAGGGGTATATCAAAGGACCGGGTCTCCACACTATATACTCTCCTTGCTGATCCGAATATTAAGCTCCCTTATATGATTCAGTGGAAACTGAACCTGAATGCCACTATTTATTTAGCTGACTGGCAAGATGTTGCCTTCGCATTATCTAAGTATCAATCAACGCCACCTTAATTGAAGCAAACTATAAAACGTTACTATGATGGTATTTGGTCCCCACTCGAATCGCAAAAATGCACCCCTCTGTTTCCCTGCATTGTTTCCCACGTTGTGGTCAGATGGGGACTATGGGCACAATTCACTAAGCAGTATCTTACCACATCCGAGTATGCGGTAGGATACCGCACAATATTTAAAAAAAATTTGAATTCACTAAAAAACGCTACTAAAATACGGCATGAGTTATTTTATCAAGTCATGAGGTATTTTAGTAGTGAAAAACATGCGTAAATGTTTCAGCTGTAAGTGGGGTTTCCACTGACTGCTGAATGTAAAAGAAAGAATTGCCAGCAATTAAAAAATTAATTTAAAAAATGGCGTGGGGTCCCCTCTCCATCCATACCAAGCCCTTCATGTCTGGTTTGGATTTTGAGGGGAACCCCCACGCCAAAATAAATAATGACGTGGGGGTCCCTCCCAAAATCCATACCAGACCCTTATCTGAGCATGCAGCCTGGTAGGTCAGGAAAGGGGGGGACGAGCGAGCCCCCCCCTCCTGAACCATACCAGGCCACATGCCCTCAACATGGGGTGGGTGCTTTGGAGTGGGGGGGCAGGGCATGCTGGGTCAATGATGTCACATGGGAGCGGGGGTCACATACGTGATGTCACCAGGTGGCCCCGCACCTTACATATTTAAGAACTGTCAAGCCAGCGGAGCAGTCAGACTGCGGGAGCCAGCGTCAAGAGCGGCACCTTTTTTTTTTTCTTTTTTCAGGTCGGCATTGGACGTGGGCATCATGATTGACGTTGGATTTACTTCGGGGGGCATTCTTTTATTTTCCTTCTTTTAATAAAGGACTTGTCAAAGACTGTCTCCTTTTTTTTTTCACACTACAGGTTTTTTTTTTTTGTGAATGGGTACCGCATACTCATTCACATGGGGGGGGATCTGGGGGACTTCAAGATTCCGATAAGCCCCCCAACCGCAGACCCCCAGAACCACTGGCCAGGGTTGTGAGGAAGAGGCCCTTGTTCCCATCAGCATGGGGACAAGGTGCTTTTGGATAGAGCTCTCCCCATCCCCTCCCCCCCATTTCCTGACCTGCAAGGCTGCATGCTTGGATAAGGGTCTGGTATGGATTTTGGGGGGGAGGTTTTTTTAATTTTGGCATGGAGGTTCCCCTCAAAATCCATACCAGACCCAAAGGGCTTGCTATGGATGGAGGGGGGTACCCCACGCCATTTTTTAATTATTTTTTTTGCATTTTTTTTTACATTCAGCTGTCAGTGGGAAACAGCTGATGACTCATAGGTTGTTAAGGACTCGGCTGATGACTCATAGGTTGTTTCGGACTCGGTGGCCACCCATTCCTTAACAACCCATGACAGTACTGACAGATACCAGTACATACTGCATGCATTTAATTATTTATTTATTTTTGTGAATTAACTTTAAGGTCTTTTTATGAGGTATTTACCAAGTGTTTTTGCTATTTTCGGTAAATACTGCATACTAGCAATAGTGAATTGAAGGTTTCAGTATCGCATGCGATATGAGGTCACGTGACTGACTTAACTGATGCGATAAGCTTTAGTGAATTGTGCCCTATGTACCACATCTGGTGTCCGACGGCGACTAGATTCTGGATCCAGATTAATTTAATCAATTCAGTGACGGACGTGAATATTCGTAGATCCCGGGAGATAGCCCTTTTTCCTAAATTTCCTGATGAAGTCCCCAGAAAATTGAAAAAATTAATAATTTATATGCTGTTGGCGTCTAGAATTACCATAGCAAAGCATTGGAAACAGTCGGCAATTCCACTTTACTACGTTATGAATAAATTCAATTGGATTAGGATTAACAACAGACTCACTTCTTTGTAATAATACTAAAAAGCTTGATATCCTGTGGAATACATGGATTCTGTATATTTCTGTTCCTTGGCCTGGGGTTGACCCTCCTTCCTTCTTTATCTATTTCTCTACTATCTCTACTTTTTCTTTCTTTCTTTTTCTTCTATATGTGGTGTGACAGTAGGGCGATCTGTCACCCAGGATTCTCAACGAGGTAGGTTGAGGGGCTCCGGGGTAAGTGTTGGATGTGGAGGAAAGTGGCTTTTCACTTTCCTCCTTTGTTTGTAAGGTCTGTTTTGGGATCTGGAGCCTGGAGATTTCAAAGAGATCTGGGAGGGATGAAATCTCCAATCCTGGGACCAGGTTTTGGGAATGGCCAGGAGACTGATTGCACAGGTGTGTGCTGCTGGCCTTTTCAGAGAGTCAGGACCAGGGTTCAGGGCTCCACCCCGGCAGATAGGAGTCAGGTGGGCTCCACCTAGGAGAGGTGGAAGCCAAAAGCAGCAAGGGGCTGCTAGAGGCCAGCGGTGTGCTAGAGCCATAATTCTTGAAGATCTCTGCAGGAGACAGACATCAAGCTGAGTATAAGCCAGGAGGCTGAATCGTTGTTTTGTGTGATGGTGGATACCCCTGCGTGGGAACCTCTTATGTTATTGAACTGTCATTTAAATAAAAGTGGGCTAAAAAGGCCCTGAAAAAGAAAGCGAGTAGCTGTGTGCGTTTAAAAGCTCTACCACTTTGAAGCGAGTGCCCACATATGGTGGAGGATGCGGGCAGAACGGGAGATCCCTGCAATGAAGTAAGTTCATTTGTTATATGAACTGTGTTTGGTGCATAAGTCTGCACTATCTGTGTGTGCAGGTGAGAAGAACCTGCTAAAGAAAAGGACTTTGCCTTAAAGAGACATTGTTCCATGGTGTTGCTGAACTGTGTAACACACTGCTGTGTGCATGACTGCAAAGATGGGGCGGTCAAAACAGGAAAAGGAGGCAATGTTTGCTGAAATGAGAGAGAGAGCCCTGTGGCTAGGGGGTTATATACCGCATGCCCCAGCCAAGCTGGGAAATTTAGATGTGTGGGTGAGTCTGCTGTGGACTGGTGCAAGCGGCACCTGGCAGCATTGAACCAACCTAAAGAGGAAAGCAAGCCAACCTTCAGTGCAAGGAGAGAGCTGCAGGATGTCCGTACCTGGGAGAGGGGTGTTGTTGCCCCTGGCAACGCTGCTGCAGTTAAACCAGTAGCTGTTGTGAAAAATGTGAATGTGTCACGGCTTGAGAGTTGGTCCAGCAGAGAGAAGCCCATGCTATGTGCAAGGAGAGGAGCTGACCAGAGGCCAGGACCAAGAGTGAAGGCCCATAGCAACACAGAGGAGGCCAGTCAGGCTGTCTGTGAATGGGGGGCTATGTCGTACAAGGATCATGGCAAGTGGCATCAAGAGGAGCCAATACAGCGTGTTGGAAAGAGCCAGCAAAGTTCTGCTTGGAGAGTGCAATCTCCTATGATGACTGGAGAAAAAGTAGTGCCTGGAAGGAGGAGCTGCATTGAAGATGTGGCTCAGTGTCCCAACAAAGATAAGTGTGGAAATGTACCCTGCCTGGAATGTGGTCATTGGGGTCATGGGATCTTTTCCTGTCCCAGACTCTGGAATACCGCTGATACTGGGCAAATGTCTACAACATCAAGCCCAGATTCTTGTTTGAAAATGTTGGCGGCCGCCTCTGGCAACAGGGAGGAAGTTCCTGTTGGGCCTGCAGGGGGTGCCAGAGAATCCATGGAGCCTATGGGGGCATCTGTTACTTCACCTTGGGGCAAGGAAAAGGTTGCCAAGGAAAGTGCAGTTGAGGATGCGTTTATGAGACAACGCACTCAATTGAAGATGGTGACACCTACTACTGTGGTGGGTAAGACTGTGTGTGATAAAACCATGGCTGGGACTGTCATGTTGAGAAGGACTGGTTATGAGACTGTCCATTCTGATGTAGGAGTGACCCCAGTTAGTTGGGCCACTGAATGTGCTTCTAAAAGTGACTTTTCCCTGTGCAGTGCCTTGTACGGTGGGGAGTTAGGGGTTAAAGTAAAGCCTGTGCATGGTTCTCAAAAAGCAACTGATGTCACTAATGTGTGCCAGTCACAGGTTGGTAGTAGGCTAGTACAGCCCACAAGAGCTACAAATGCTGATGATGTTGTTGTGAAATGTACTGCTGTTGGGAAAAACCTGAGCTCTTGCAGTGCAAAAGCTGTAATTAAAGACGGGTCATTTCCCGTAGCAACTGGTGGTGAGACAGCACAGGTGTCCTTAGACATCTCCAGGGGTCTCCATGTATTGGAGCCGGAGGTTGCCCGGGACAACTGCGATGTCACTCTGGTGGAGCAGAGTGGAACTGCACCTTGTCATAGGAGTGTGTTGGTGCAGTCTAACAATACGGAAAGCGTTCAGGTGAACAGTGGGTTAATGCAGCCTGGCAAAAATGCAAATGTGTGTGTAATTCATGAAGCATCACCAGAGCAAAGTGGTGGATGTGAGGTATTGCAACCTGCAGTTGGAAAACAGGTGTTACCCAAGTCTGACATGATCCAGAGTGATTTGTGCAATGGATCTGCAACTAAGCCCGTCTATTCTTATGTGTCTCCTTGGGCAGATGGATCGGTGCTGAGGAGCACTGGTGAATTGCGCACATATACAATGGAATGGGATAGTTGGGGTAAAAGGCTAATCTCGTTGATAGATGAGGTTTTTATGCAAAAAAATAAGGTGGACACTGTTTCTGCTGTGCCAGCAGGAGGGTCTATAGAACGGCCTATAGATAAGGGTGTGCATACAGCAGAGACTTTGTCTGTGACCCACAAACATGATGTTGGCATGGAGTGTCAAAATGATGTTGTCACTGGGAATGATCAGGGGCAGCTTGTGGATGCTGAGTCTGAGATGTTGAGAGTGTGCCCAGCACATGGCAGCGCTCTGGTGGAGCACCAGGCTGTGGTTATCTCCAGCTTGGAGGAGGTTCCTTTAAAAATTTCAACTTCTCAAGTCTCAGCAGGTGAGTCTCTCAGCGTTCCCAGTGCCCTAAATATGGTCAGGAAGGTCTTAGGTTTAGAGTCAAGTGGTTGGGTTGTAACCAAAGTATTAAAGGAGATGCTTGAACTTTGGAATGTACAACCAATGTATACTGGGGTGTCTCCTCCACAGTCAGATGGTCTGGTACTGCGGAGTACCACTAGGTGGAGCACCAAATGGCTGGCTGTACATATCAAACGGGAACAAGAAAGTGGTTTATTTCTGAATTTGTTGATGGTGTTAAAAGTGGTATCAGAGTATGCTGCTGGATTACCTGTAAATGTGATAGATGAGAAATGTTTTGGGGAAATGAAAAATGAGTCAAAGCTTTCACCTCCTAACAGCCAGGTGGGAAGCATTTCTGCTGCTATGGTCCAGGATGGTGCTGGTCAGTTGTCAGTGAAGGGTGTGTTTACTGCACCATTGGACAAACCACATGAGATGGAAGGGCCGAGCATGGACCAGAGAACAGCAGAGATCCTGACCAGGGCTCAAATGGATGTGTATAAAGAAATCCGGGTCATTGGGCCAAAAAGAGATTTATGTAGCAGGTCTGATAAGACACCTGAAATACAGGGAGAAATGGTATGTGAAAACTGGCAAAATAGATCAAAGAGAGCTCATCTGTACTGGGTTTGGATACAGATCCAAGTGGTGTAGGAAAAGTTAAAATGGTTGGACAGCCACCTGCAGAGTGCATGACGCCAGGTGAAGTGGCATTTTGTGAGGTTCACGTGGGTGATGGCTGCCCTATGGTGTGTGTGCCCTCTACAGACACTGTCCTAACAAATGCTGGAAAAGATATTGAAAGGTGTAATATTGACTGGAATATAACCGTTCATGGTAAACTGAATGCTGTGGTAATGAGTCATGCAGGTTTGATAGCTAGAGGTACAAGAAATCAGGGGGGTGGTCCTGGTACAAATACAGTAGAAATAGTTCCCCTACAGCCTTGGGACAGTAATACTGAGAGGGGTATTAGGAAACCTGAGCACCTGCAAAGGGGCAGAAAGGTCGGTAGACAGGCCAGGGGGACCCTGTTAAGATCTCAGGAGAGAAAGTGGTTATGGAAATGCACCCGGAAAAAGAATAGGGAAGGTGTGAGTAGAGCCCATAGCAGAGTGACAATGGGGCTTGGGGAGAGACACCAAAGGAGTCATTGGGTAGAGTTCCCCTTTAGGAAAGGTATGGTTAGACCAGATTGGACCCCTGTAAGTGAGAGCTGGCACAGAGGTGCCAGAAGGTATAAGTTGTGTGTTCTGCCCCCTACGGGGTCAAAACAAAGGGGGGGGATATGTGACAGTAGGGCGATCTGTCACCCAGGATTCTCAACGAGGCAGGTTGAGGGGCTCCGGGGGTAAGTGTTGGATGCGGAGGAAAGTGGCTTTTCACTTTCCTCCTTTGTTTGTAAGGTCTGTTTTGGGATCTGGAGCCTGGAGATTTCAAAGAGATCTGGGAGGGATGAAATCTCCAATCCTGGGACCAGGTTTTGGGAATGGCCAGGAGACTGATTGCACAGGTGTGTGCTGGCCTTTTCAGAGAGTCAGGACCAGGGTTTCAGGGCTCCACCCCGGCAGATAGGAGTCAGGTGGGCTCCACCTAGGAGAGGTGGAAGCCAAAAGCAGCAAGGGGCTGCTAGAGGCCAGCGGTGTGCTAGAGCCATAATTCTTGAAGATCTCTGCAGGAGACAGACATCAAGCTGAGTATAAGCCAGGAGGCTGAATCGTTGTTTTGTGTGATGGTGGATACCCCTGCGTGGGAACCTCTTATGTTATTGAACTGTCATTTAAATAAAAGTGGGCTAAAAAGGCCCTGAAAAAGAAAGCGAGTAGCTGTATGCGTTTTAAAAGCTCTACCACTTTGAAGCGAGTGCCCACAGTGGTTAGTAATACCTTAGTTGGTTTTACGAGGTTTTTAATGCTTTAGATGACTATGACTTAGTCTGTAATGTCAAACTAGATTCCAGTGTTTTTTTTTTTCCCCTTATTCTATATCTCCTACCTCTTTCCTCTTGGTTCCCCTCCCTTCTCCTAACCCCACCACTGTGATAGCCTTCTTTGATGTTTTTGACTGCGCATAAGTGATGTACTCTGCTTCTGGGCAGGGATTAAGAATTGCCTCTAAAATTTTCTGTTCAATCCATGTACTCTTTATTACATTGAGACTAATTACTATGTTATGACCACTGTTCAATTGTTGTCATTGTTGATTATGAAGGAAGAAAAAAAAAACAAAATTCTTCAATAAAACTATTGAAATGTAAAATATACTAAGAACTCTATTATAAAACAGCAAGTCTCACACACACCCAATACATTTTGATGGAAATTACAGTGCATCAACGCATAAAAAAACATACCTGCACAACCTGGTGTCTTGGTCAAGTTCTTTTCATGGAAATGGGGCAATGTTTTTGTGTTGTACCCTTGCCAAGGCATGCCAGTGTCTGGCAGATTCTGCAGCAAGTACAGTAAATGAGTTTCCTGCTCTAAAAGTAGGATACTACTGTCTGATATAATTATGAACAGGACCCTGTGCTATATCTATACTTTGTTAAACTCTGAGTTGCCTCATGCACTATTCTGTCTATTTCTGGTCTACATTTGAAATAGTTTTTTGCTGCTTTGGCTGGACCTGAAAAATATATTCAGCAAACCTGTGGTGGATATGCTCCATATACTAACAAATCTGAAGGCTAATTTAATTTTAGTATATAGGCAAGAATTAAATTATTTGAAGTCTACATATGCCATCTGCACTAAGAATGAGATTCGGGTTCCTCACTATGTTGGTTCGAGAAAAATCCTGTGGACTTGAGACTGCCATTCCCGGTAAATTTATGTGTGGATTTGCCTAGTTGGATTTTTGAAACTACAGTGCACTGCATGGCCTTTAAACTATGGCCAGCAGACATAGACGGACCAATAGAGGGATGGGGGGGCTTGATAAGTTAGCTCTCTCACTATAAAAGAAGGTCAAAGAACAGCCGTAGTGTCATCTATGACAGTTTTAGGTTGCTAAACGTTTTTCAAACTCCCACCTAACCACCTGTCCCCTGGACCCTTTTCCCTCTCAAATACTGTGGTCACCATCTGGCTCTATCCTACACTCTCTCTAACTCACATCTTCAATCTCTCCCTCTCTTCTGGCGTCAACACTCTAAAACATGCAGCAGTCACCCCCATACTTAAAAAGCCTTCCTTGGACATCACTAATTTTAACAACCTATAATCCATCTCCTTGCTCCTCTTTTCCTCCAAACTCTTTGAACACCTGGTATACAACCAGCTGAGTTTTCCATCTCATTAACAATAACCTTCTTAATTCCCTTCAGCCTGGATTTCGCCCTGAACACTCCACAGAAACTGCTCTCCTAAAACTCACAAATAATTTACTAACAGCTAAAACCTATGGACACTATTCTGTACTCCTACTTCTGGACCTTTCGGCTGCCTTTGATACTGTTAACCACCCCTTCCTCCTCAAAAAACTTTACTCCTTTTGTTCCCCATGATTGTGGTCTTCATTGGTTCTCATCCTACCTATACCACCACACCTTCAGTGTCACTCACAATTCTACTTCCCCCTTTCCTCTTCCTTTCTCCGTCGGGGTCCCCCTAAGCTCTCTTCTTGAACCTCTCCTATTCTCGATCTACACCTCCTCCTTGGGTCAGCTGGTAGCCTCCTCCCTTGGCAGCATCCCATTGTTTTATTGTTTGTCTTTCTTGGGAGCAAACTATTATGGGATGTATGTCTTTATGTGTATTAGCTTAGTGGGGGAAGGATGTCTCCAGCAGCCCTCACTCCTGATGGGACTGTCTGCTTTAGTGAAGTTTGAATACCTGTGTGTCTCTTGTTACTAAATGTAGATTGCCCCACCCTGTGTCATTATGCAGGGAGGGGGGACTGTCCCTTGAGTGTATATATATATATATATATATATATATATATATATATATATATATATATATATTGTATCTGTGTTGAAATAAACTAGTCTACCTTCTGGATTACTTCAAAATTGGTGTTGTCTAGTCTTGTATGGACAGCTGTGGTGTCTGTTGTCGGTGTTCGGACAGGGAAGCGGTATTATAACGCAAGTACTCAAGCGCAGTCTGGGGTTGGTTACGTTACATTGGTGGCAAGCAGTGGGATTGTGCTTCCTGGCTGTGAACACATCCAAACCTCCACCGGGATCCAAGGTTCAGATAACAGGAGAGGAGAGACAGATACCACCCGCAGCTATGGAAACGGAGGTGTTATGGCGGATGCAGCAAGTGCTGGCTTATCTAGACAATTCTGTTTTTGCACGTGACGAGCATGGATGAAGGAATGCGTCTGTCCAACAGCTGAATGAGGGTATGGAAGATGGAGCAGTCGGCTCATCCCTCCAATTACAGATCCCAGAATGTATGGATCTAATGGATTTTTCACTGGAGGATGTTATGGGTGATGAGTCACCTGCCAAAGTGCTGGCAGTGGGCCCAAGGGCCACCAGTCCGTGCCCTGGGCATTGAGCCCTTCCAGAGACTGGGGATTTGATAGACTTCTCTGCTGAGGAAAAAAAACCTGGTGAGCCTCCAGCAGAAGAGCTGGCAACAGGGCCAAACATTGCTGAGCTCTACCCAGCACCAACAGCAGCTTCAGTCTCCCTAAGAGAAGAGGCTGCCGACCTTTCTCCTACACCACTGACAGGGTCATGGGATTTCCTACCAGCAGCATCTTTGGGGGTAAAAGAAACTTCTCCAGCTGAAGTGCTGACAACCGGACAGAGGGTCCAGGACCTCTGCCCCACACCTTCGGTAGTTTCAGAGGCCCAGGGGGAGAAGGGAGAGGAGTTTGTTGTCCTCCCTCCCCCGCAGTCTGCCAGAGTGGAGGAAACTGTCTTCCCTCCCAAGCCAGGATCTGTGCTCCAGGGGGACAGTGACAGAGGAATGTCATCTCAGCAGCAGATCTACAGTCTGGGAGTGGAGGAAGGCAGCCTCCCTCCCCCACGGTTAGCCGGAGCAGATGTGGGATCCCCAGCAGAAGTGCTGGCAACAGGACAGAGCGCCGCTGGCCTCTGCCTAGCAACTACAGTGTCTCCACAGCATCAGGGAACTGGGGCGATTGGCCACTCCCCCCAGCAGCAGACTGAGCTCCAAAATGTTCAAAACCATACAGCCGAAGCGCTGGCAGCTGGTCAGAGAGTCAGTGACCTCTGCCCCACCCCCACCGAGGACACTACCCCTTGCAGTCGAGAATGGAAATCAGGTTGACCATCTATGTGACTTCACTCTGCCCTCAACTAACCAAAGTGGATGAGACTACAGTCACCACCTGGATACCCCAGGGATGCTGGGCAGTCGGCGCAGATCCCCAACAGCATGATTTAGCCATCCCAGTCACCCTGTCTTCTCTCCAGTGGCTGAGAGGACTTCAGGGAGAAGGACCAGTCCGTACTTCTCCCCAGCGGCGGGTATGTTCTACGAGAGAGACAGAGGTTGGCTGGGTGAGTAATGCTATGTTTGGGACAATGTGTTTGGGGAATTGTGTGGGTGCTGGCATTGGGGGACTGGAAGTATAGACTAACTTTGGACTCAACCCCGTTTGGGGTCTCCTCCTGTGTTAGCCTCAGCCGAAAGTGGAGATATGTGATGGGAATTACTTTGGGTGGGGGGCCCATGGAACCCAGCTTACTTTGGAGAGGTGGGGAGACCCCTGTCTCAGCTTCCCATATCCCTATTATGTGTAAGTGTGCCTGTTAAGGGTACAGGGTGATCTGTCCTAATATTGTGTAGACATGTCTAGGAGATAGGTGGAGTGGGGATCGTGGATTGTTTGGTGTTGTGTGGCTGCATCCCATTGTTCTATTGTTTGTCTTGCTTGGAAGCAAACTATTATGGGATGTTTGTGTTTATGTGTAATAGCTTAGTGGGGGGGGGGGGTGTCTCCAGCAGCCCTCCCTCCTGATGGGACTGTCTGCTGGTGTGAAGTTTGAATACCTGTATGTCTCTTGTTACTAAATGTAGATTGCCCCCCCCCCGTGTCATTATGCAGGGAGGGGGCACTGTCCCTTGGATTTATATACTGTATCTTGTATCTGTGTTGTAATAAACTAGTCTACCTTCTGGATTACTTCAAAATTAGTGTTGTCTAGTCTTGAATGGTCAGCTGTGGTGTCTGTTGTCAGTGTTCAGACGGGGAAGCGGTATTCTAACGGAAGTAACCAAGCGCAGTCTGGGGTCGGTTCCGTTACAGCTTTCATTATGATTTCTACAATAACAACACCCAAATCTATCTTCAACCCTCAGCTCACAACATTGGTCTCCTCAAACATCACTAACTTACTGACCGAAATATCAGTCTGGATATCACACCACTTTTTCGAACTCAAATCTATCCAAAACAGAGCTCTTAACATTTCCTCCCCCACATGCCCCTTCCCCTGACTTCTCTGTCAAGATCAATGGCACAACCATCAACCCATCCCCACATGCCAGGGTGCTAGGTGTAATTTCCATTCCATTTTCCTGAACTTTCCATTCAGCCCC